TAGTTAAGTCCGCCAAAACCCCTAGAAAATGCAATAGGGCGACAAATAAAAAATCTTTAGTATTAAAAATGACTGAATAAACAATTGGATATTATTGTTGGAAGTCTCCTGAGAGAACCAGAGTTTTCCAATCGAAAAATATTGATTTTCGAGAATTCCATACCATTTCTACGAAAAGTGTTTTTCCCCCATATAAACTACACGGAAAACTTTGAGCGTTTTGAGCGACCTCTAAATAATTTTTGATTGCAAAAAGGAAATGTGGGTATACTTTTTTTGATATAGAACAACCCTAGAGGATGAGAGCAATACAATTCCCACTTTACTTATTTTGGACCACCCTAATGTACACCAAATGGTTTGGAATGTATGCAGAAAGTGGCATTTCTAGCGAGATCCTCTCCCCCCTCGGAGAGTACGAGTTTAAGGAAGTTTTACGCTGTTTTGCCTGGGAAACTAGCTTGGATTAAGCCCATAAGCGAAAATAAATTTGAAATACATACATATGTACATGAATGCCGGTGTCCAAAATTCCGATATCATTGGTATGCAATTGGGGCCGCTCAAAATGCTAACTAAGTATGTACATAAATACATATCAACCTGTGTGTTCCAACAAATATGTACGTATTATTAACAGCAAGCAATTCGTGAAATACAAATGTACCTGCAAGCATATAATTTATTTACACACATATGTATGTACATACATACATACACATCTATTTACTACGAATAAAAAAGGCAAAACAAACCAACAAAAACAATTAAACTTATAAGTGGCATTGGCAATTTGTAGAGCTGTTAATTCTATTGTGGATTTTGGCGTTATAAAATTCTCACTTCAATTTATCACACAAATGAAAAAAAAGAACAACAAATAATAGCACCAGCACACGTAGTAGCCAAGTCAAGTCAAGCAGTTAAGTGCGAGACAAAGTGATACAAACAAATGAAGGCGAGAACGCCTTTTTCTATGGGCATGCAATTTATGTAGATGCGAGTATGTGCTAGGGTTGCCACACCTGTGAAATGCCGAAAGAGGTACAGATAAGAAGAAATTGGGGGACTTGGGGTACAATTGAGAAAGAAAAAGGGGTATTTTTCGGGGGACAAATGAAACTAAATGTATTCAACAAAAAATTGATTTATTCGCTTTTGGAACAATAAAACCGTTCATATATGTAAAAAAATTCAATATCATTTGAACAAAACCAAGTTACACTGGCGATCAAAACTGTGTGCATGGTGATTTTATTTTAAATATTTACAATGTTTTGCTTATTTTTTGTACAAATATTTTTCATGCTTTAGGCAAAACCAACTAACTCAAACTTTCAAACTTAATACAAACTATAGAAAAATGTAACAAATTTCAATAACGATTTTTGACTTCTGTATTCTGGAATATGCAGTTACATGGCTCATGAAATTTTAGTAAAATAAGTGCAAGTTTTACGCGGCTAAAAATCACGTGATTTTTATTACTTTTTTGCTGATGGCTTTTTTTTCATACAAAGGTGAATTTGAAGAAAATTCTTTTTTAAATTACACTTCTTATATGGAAAAATCGCTGTTTAAAACTTGCTCTCATTTTACTAAAATTTCATGGGGCATGTAACTGTATATCCAAGCATTCAGATTAAAAGGTTCCAAATTTTATGGAAATTTGTTACACTTTTTCAAAATTTTTACTAAGTTTGCAGGTTTGATTGATGCATGTATATGATTTTGTTTAAAGCATGAAAAATATTTTTACGAAAAAATTACAAAAAAATTTACTTGAAAAATATTGTGGATATTTTAAAAAATAACTATGCACTCAGTTTTGAACGCCAGCCTTAAATATGGCATACAAGTATTTTCAAATAAAAATTGTACTTTTCCTTCAACTAATCGCCTGTGAAAGTTGAACAATGCCCCCGCCAATAGGGTACGTCTGGCTACCCTAATATGTGCGCAAATGTGCGTTTGCGAGTTTGTATTTACAAACATACATATATATCTGCACATGTATGTACATATACATATTTGCATGCGTGTGAGCACACATACTAAACATGGAGAGGCAATTAAAATATTTCACTATTTTATGGACTATAAACAACAAACAGAAATACCAATAGACCAAATAGCTAATAGATGTATAGCACAATAACAATAAAAACGAAACCAAAAACAGCAACAGAAAGAGCAAAAATGGAAAAGGAATCAGAATCAGAATCTGAATCCCAAACGGCCTAACAACAACAATTCCAGCAACAGAAACAGCGGCAACAAAAACATTTAAATATGGTAGTAACTACACCACAAACAATCATAACATATCAACAACAAAATTATAGTGAAACAGTAGCAAAAAAAAGAGTGCAATAACAAAAACATTAACAACAGCAAGTCAGCAACATTGTATGCCTAGATATTAGCTTTGTTTCTTTACAGATAATTATCTCTCGTTTCTGCTAGAAAGCGATTATTTACCCAAAAAAAAACAGCTATCAGAATGTAGCAGCTCTCTCTCGTTCTTACGCTCTTATTTTTTGCCTATCCTGCTAGTTTCTGCTAGTAAACAGCTGTTGAGACATCAACAAGCGAGGTTAAGCAAAGTTGCTTTTATTTGTTTCCTTTTCCATATTTTTGCTATCATTTGTTTAATAAAAATGAGCGAATCACTAAATATTGATGAAGTGTCGCAAAATCTAAGTATTTGCGAATATTTTTAAAATACAAAAAGCGATAATAAAATGGCGCCAAATATTTTTAACTGTCAAATACCAGCTGTTTACTTGCTAGTTTGCTTCAGTGTTGTCAGGTTGACGATTTGGTCGTCATTTTGAAGATTTTTACAGCCATGACGATTTGACGATTTTTGTGACCTAATGAGGATTGCGAATAAAGCAGTTTTGGCTGGTTGTCAACTCTGAATATACAGAGGGGCGACGAATAACTGTTACCCAGGGTTTTTTGAAAAATAAAAGGACCCTTTATAGATTTTGCTAAAAAAGTATTTTATTGTTAATTTTCAACAGATTTTACTTTAATTTTATTAATTAGTTTTTAATTTTTAACCTTTATTTGGGTATACCGGCGGTAAACACTTAGAGAGAAAATCGCAAGCGGGACGCAAGTCTTCGTCGGTTGATTTATTCCATATCTTCTGTAACCGTGGGCTTATTTCCTCAATTTTGAGTCCTTTATACTGCCACTTTTGTCTAACATAACGCTCATACTCAGAAAACGAATAGACTCGGTAAACTAACGAAATAATACTTTCTTCGCAAATTTTTAAAGGATACTTCTATTTAAGAAAAAAACTGCGTACGAGTTATTCGTCGCCACGCCGTAGTTACACCGACATCAAAAAATTCGTAAAAAGTTAAGCTTTTTATTTTTTTGATATAGCTTCCTAGTTCTGTTTATTTAAATTTTTCATATGTTGACGTTTTTTACATACGAATGACGACTTTTGAGAACCAAATTGACGATCTCTCACTTCAATGACCTGGCAACATAGTTTGCGTTTCTTAACTATTTCTTTATTTCGCTCTCCGCGAGCGTAATTCTCTCAATTTTTCAATTCTTCTTCTTTTTGATACTTATATGCTAGAAAAGTAAAGAAACAAGCTATTGAATAAATATTACGTATATGTAGTATTTTTCATGGCCCCAGCGATTTTAGAGGGTGGCGGGAAACAGACGCTGCGTTTCTACCTATGGAGTCTACGCGCATACGTTTTCGCTTTAGAGGAGAAGCAATTGTATGGACGTGCAAATAAGTAAGTACATTAGGAAGTCGCACTAACAAAACCTTGCAGTTTGTTAAAGAAAGTCCTAAACTATGGTCAAAATAAGAAGAAAGGTCAACCTGTTTAAGGCAGCGACCGTTAAATATTTAGATTTTTTCATTGCAAAATCGTTATTTTTTTATTAAATTTTTTTCGGTCAAATGTACTACGTGGTGTTGGTTAAATAAAAACTAGAAATGAATTTTGTGTATTTCAAAACTGGGCATAAAATTTTGATCAAGAAAAAAGTGGACATACACACATACGTACATGTTTGGTAACTTACTTTGTTGGTAAAATGAAAAATATACATAAATTTTCAGTGATTGGTATTTCAAAACTGGGCATAAAATTTTGGTGAATTAAAAACTGGCCATAAAAATTGTGGGCATTTTATGCCTACCACTCATATACATATCTATGTTCAGCACTTAAATGAGCAAAAATCCATGACCAGTTCAAAACATATCAAAAAACTGCCCAATTTTCAAAACAAAATTATGTCAAAGGTGTAATTAACTAAAATGCATGTCCTGTCGAAATTTTATTTAGGACATTTTCCTGAATCGATTAATATTTTTTCTAGGGCCCTTAAGTTTTTTGGTGGGCCCAGTATAAAATCGTGCCAGATTTACGACACTCGAAACCTTGGATTTGCTCAAGTTATGCTGTAGGAGTGTAAAGTACAAATCGCACACCGTCTTCAAAAGAGTCACAACTCAAAATTTGACATTGTTGAGATTATGCGCTAAAAATGTACACAGAGCTTTTATTTACCATTCAGCAAAAGCTGGAGCAAATTTTTGTTATAATTTGTTAAAAAAAAAAACCTAATGTAAAGTCGCCCTTGCCCATATGATTATCATGTGCTAAGAAATATTTTTTCGCATTTTCTGACAAACGTATTATTTTGAGTTGTGACACTTTTGAAGACGGTGTGCGATATATGATTTTTATTTTATGGTTGGGTTGGGGGAAAGAACCTATGTACATATATATTTTTCTCTATGGAGCGTGAGACAGTCTAATAGGCATACATACTTGTACATGTATGTATGTATGTGTGAATGTTCCACACACAAATGGTTGCAAGGAAAGTCAATATACAATTATGTCTACTTTGCAAAACAAAACAATAACAAATAAACTCAACACAAATATTAAATGATAATTACTATGCAAACGTATATAGGAAAGTCACATATTTATCTGTGCATAAATACATATGTACATACATACATACCAGCATAATCATATCGTTTATAGAGTAGCAATTGTTGCGAGCAGACTCGATAGCATTGCGAGGTGGAGCACAGCAGCTTATTGTTTGTGGGCTTTGATGTTGTTATTGTTAATTTTATTTATTCTCCTTGTCGTACATACATACATATGTATGCATATTTACGTAGTACACTTATAATACGTATTTGTAGAATTTTGTTGTAGAACATCGATTGTTACGCGCACGCAAAAACTTAAGTTTATAATTATGGACATACAAATGTATGTACATACATACATACATAAATATGTGGCAATATTCAGAGCAATCGCGTGAGCATATCTACAAACCCAATGAACTAATATATATGTTTACAAATATACAATTATTTATGTGAGTTTGCAAACGCTTAGAGCAGTAGGCAGACGCTGTCGGTAGCGCGTTGCCGCGGCGGGCAGATACGGACGCGTACGTGATCAATAATCAAGTTTCGTCGCTGGCTGGGGTTCTGTATACGGGGCACACCAAGTAAGTACTCACTACTTACTGACCGACACAAATGGCATAAGGCAAATTAATTATGCTCAGCGTGTGGATTGATATCTGCTAAAGTTTGGAATCGCGCTTGTAATCGCCTTTGTCGCACTCGCAGACACGCGGGCAATCCCAAGCTCCATGCGCCGCCGTTCGGCAGCGCGTTGCTGGCGAATTGGTTCGATGGCTGTGGCTGGCTCGCTCAGTGGCTAGCTCTAGCTGATTGCTGCCCGATCGCCGTTGTACTCGTACATATGTATATTGTTGGTCCGTTCGCGAATCGCTATTAAACGCAACTTGACACTATTCTGCAGACGCAAGCGAGGAATTTGTTTACACGACAATTTTGTGGCGCATATGTGGTAGATAACGATCGGATATGGAGACGCCTGAATGCGCGGGTTCTCATACACTGCTGACCGAGTGAGTATCTGGAACAAAATTTGTTGGTTTAAATTTTTTTTCTTTATTATTTTTGATTATTATTCTTATTATATATTGTATGTAAGCTGTATTTTTACTTGGAAGTAAATATACATACATACATGCATACATGTGTAGATAATACTCGTATGGAAATTTGGGTTTTAAAGCTAAATATGATTTTTATTAACCAGTATCTATTATATCCACTATTGGAACAAGAAGTAAAAACTATTATTATATTCAATTTAGAAAAAATACGCTTAGGTATTCAAAATAACAGTTATTTAAAGGTGATGCAGATCTTTGACAGAAAATATTTTTAATACATACATGTGTTTGTTTTTTTTTTAGGTTTTGGCAAACTTAGTCATGGAGCGATAGTCAGTTGAACAACAACAAATGAAGGTTCTGCAGAAGTTCATTTTGCACATTGCGCTATTTTTGCGGTAAAGGTAACCGGCCGGTTGTTACACCGAAAATATTGCTACTGTGGAACAAAGTGGGTACCAGACCGCGACGACGCCGGTAACAGTATATAACGGTGAACGGCAAACGTTACCGTGATATTATAACCGACTGCTTAAATGAGATGGACTTAGACAACATGTGAATGGTGCCACTTGCCACATAGCTACGGTCACCATATTTATGAGAGCCGAATACGGGACAAAAAATAATTTTGCAAATTCGTTCCACAACAGCTTACAGATTTTAAAGCCTTCTTCAATGATCCTAGATGTATTAGCCCTGAAACAGTATCCTTATAGTAACATAACGAATTCCCCGAGATTTTTACCGCGTAAAGTTTGTTAAAAAAGTTCCTCAAATTTTAGTATAAAAGGTGCAATTTTAAATTGCTAAGGCTTACCAATAATTTTTGGCATTTTTATTTTTATTTTTTGTTGACGGTGTTACGCATTTTTTCATACAAACTAAGTATGATCGACCACCACACCATTTGACTTCTTTCTCTGCGGCCACGTAAAAAGTATGCCTATGCCAATAAGCCCGAGGCGATTCCATAGCTGAAGATTGACATCATACGGGTTTTAAATAATATACATCCCGAACTATGCCCTAAAGTCACGGAAAATGTGTATATGCGCATGCTGTGTTGCCAGAGGAGTTTTATTTATAAAATAAAATCTGGGGTTTTATTGAATCACCATGTGTGAATGTTTTTTTGGGGAGTCTCATTCACTCCGAATAAGCTGATTGAATGAGCGAATTATTTGTGAGGGAATGAGTGACTGGTTGGCTGAGTTACTAAGTTAGCTAATGACTATGTGAGTGATGAGCGAGTTAATTAATTAGTAAGTAATTGCTAAAAGTGAGCGAATGAATCAGTGATCGAGTGAGTGGGTGGTAAGTTAGTGAGTGAATGAGTGATGAGCTATAAATAATTTAGCGAGTGAGTGTTGAGTAAGTGTGTAAGTGATTGTACAAATCTAAGTGATTGACTGTGTAAACGAGTGAGTGATTCCAGGAGTAAGTGTATGAATGAGTAATGAGTTAGGGAGTGAGTAAACTAATGAGTGAGGGAATGAGCGATACCTCAATTTAAAGTTAATCACATGGATCTGTAAATCTTTGCGATTTCCTTGTTTTTTTTTTTTTTTGTAATTCTATGCAAAGATTAAAATTAGATATAAAATGCATCTAATCAACACACTTTTCAATGTTATTATTTTATTCTACTTGTTATATGTAATACAATAACTACTACTACTAGTTATATGTAATAAATAGCACATCAGTTGCCAGCTTTCAATTGTAATCCGTAATCAAATCATTCCAAAACGCTCTACCTCAGCAAATGGTTGAAAAACTCCATATTCAGAATTTGGGTGAAGAACGCCTTATCTCAGAATTTGGTTAAAAAATACCCTATTTCAGCTGCCGCTTTGAAAACGCCCTATCTCAACATAAATTGAATGAGAGGATTCACAAGACATATTAACCGTCGTAAAATCTTAAGCTTAGCGTTTTATATGTTAAATAGTGATTAAAACACACGAAAGACCAAATATAGTAAAGCTGCGTTTTTAGTTTTTCACTCTGACGTCAGGATTTTTTTCAAAGAACTTTGAAATTGTAATGATATGATTAATTCAAAAGATTATTTTAAAAAAATCAGTGCGATTCAGAATAATAACGGTGTTGGTACCAAATGAGAGAGAAAATTTAGAATTTAAAAACAAGAAAGTATTTTTGTTTACAAGGACGAATAGGTATTAACAATGCGCTTTTAATAAAGTGAATCTTTTTAAGTAAATAAAGTTTGCAGGACGAAATTCGATGATGACGTCGTGTGTATATTTGTATTTGTATCGCAACTTGTCAAGGATATTTAAGGACAAAATTTGTAAAGGACATTTTCCATAGCCATTCTTCCTTGTTAAAAATTTAATAAGTAAGACATAAGTTTTAATTTATTTTATTTTACTTTATTATTTACTTAATTTTTCGTCAATTAAAGACTGGGCATACATTTATGATCAGATGAAAATTGAACTTATGTATTATGTATTTAAATTATAGGTAGTTTAAAAAATGTGCATAATTTGTCGATCATTCGAAAACTGGCCATAATTTTAGATGAATTGAACACCGGACATAATTTTCGATAACTTGAAAAATCGGCATAAATTTTTGGGCATTTAAAAACTGGACATAACTCTATTAAATACTTTAAAAACTGAACATAATTTTTTCTTACTTAAAAACTTGGCATAAATTTATGGGTATTCCGAAATTAAAGATGTGAAATTAAAAATTTTACATTATTTTTGGTACTTTATAAAGTGGGGATAAATGTTTAGCCATTTAAAAACTTGATATAAATTGACGTAACTCTAAAAACTGGATATAATTTTGTGTTGCTTTAAAGACTGAGCATAATATTTTTTATTTAAAAACTGCACAAAAAACTTCTACAATTTTAAAATTGGACATAACTTTTGCTACATTAAAAACCGGACGTAATAATTTAGATATTGAAAAACTGGGCAACTTTTTTGATTTTTTTTTTTGTTGACATATGCACATTTTAGATCATTGGAAAACTGGATATACAATGTATATTATTTGCGTGGCAATAAATTTTTGATATCTTTAAAACAAGGGTTGCGTCATTTAAAATTCTTTTTAATTTTAAATCCGCTATTAATTAAGAAATATATTTGGTTTGTGATTTGATTGGTCAACCAAATAGAAATAAAATTTATTTCCGATTTGATTCGTCGACCAAGTAAAAAATTTAATTTATTTGCGATTTTATTAGACGATGAAATAAAAAAAAAAATATTTGTGATTTGAATCGTTGAACAAATAAAAAACAAAATTTATTTATGATTTGATTCAACAACCAGATAAAAACTAAATTTTATTTTCTCGCAAATCGAACAAATAATAAATTTATATTATTTAGGATTTGATACAACCTTCAATTCAGAAATTACTTTTATTTTCGGATTTGAAATTTGGCTAATTAAAAAACACACAAATCTTATTAAAACTGGGCACAAATTTATGCTCAGTCGCAAATTGAATATGTTCATTTGAATTTTAATTCGTTTCAAAATTTAATATTGTCTTTTCGTATTTAACTTTATTTAGTATTTTTATTTTCATTTTTTATTTCATTTAATTTTTTGTTTTTGTGCTTTATTCAATAAAATTTTATTTTAAGTACATTATGTTTTAATTCAAAAAATTTTTTATTTATTTTTTCTTAAATGTTTGTTTTTTAATTTTATTTGTTTTTACTTCCATTTATTTGCTTTTATTTTATTTTTTGTATTAAAATTTATTTAATTTTACCATTTCATATTTTTTAAATTATTATTGTGTCTATTTTTTATTTTATTTTGCTTTATTTTACTTAAAAAAAAAAAAAACTATCATAAATAAATATGGACATAACTCACATTTTACAGCCGTTCCTCGCTGTGTTTTCACGCATTCGTAACTTTTATGGCTGATTGTAATGCCGTTATTAATCTCTCATGCACATTTCATCAATTTTATAAACGTTAATTGCAGCGCTCGCAGTGAATATAGACGAGGTAAATATACGATTAGCTGATTTTTTAATGAGCGTACATACAAACACACATACAAATATTGTATACTGAATATTGCGTTTTATTAAACATTTGCAATTTGTAGTTGTTTGTTTTTCATTTTTTAAGCATTTGTTTTCATACTTAATTTTATTATTATGTTTTAATTTGTGTTTTATATTTTTTATTTTTTTTTTTTTTGCTTTTTCATACAATCACTTCTAGCAATCAGCATTCACTGCGAATGACGACGGAACGCGCGCGCGTCTCATGAATGAGTTGCGACTTTGAGAATAAAATTGTTACATGCAAGCGATGCGTCAGTCAGCGCCGACACAACACTAGCGCTCGGCAGTCGATTTGTGAATGAATGAAAAGCTCGCACGGAATCGTCTTAAATGACTGCTGGGACTGGACACACAGGACTGCTGCACTCGGCAGCAGTAACAGCAACAACAGAGCAGCCAACGCGATAAGAAACTATTGGGGAAAAGGGAGGCAAATGACGAGCCGCATCAACGATTCGCTTACAATGGAGGTGCTAGTGGTGAGGTGGATGATGAGCGCACGGATGAATGGTGTTGGAGGGGAAGAGAATTCGCGTGTGGAGTTTTTGTTATCATGGCACACCACATTAATTTTGATGTCGGGTTTGATTTGTTATTAGTACACACTCATTTTTGCGCTAACACTTTCACACACTTTTGCTATGTTTTTCTACATTTTCATGCTTGCTATCGCATTTGAATTTCACAATATTTTTTTTGGCGTTGCGATTTTTTCTTAGCAGCTCAGTAGCGCGCGTGTTAGGCCTCCAAAAAAAAAGTGTTAATTACATGCGCGCGCATGCACGCCCTATTAACTAAACGGAACTAAGTGCCGTCGCCGCCACTACCGCCGCTGCCGTGCTAGTGTTTTTTTTTTTATTGCGCGGCAAGCCTCTAAAACTCTGGGCGCTCTTAAGCCGTAGTTCCTTTTATAAAAACTAAATAAAGAAAAATAAATGCGCTAGCTTGTTTTACAGTTATACAACTGTGTTATGTTCTTGTAATTGGAAATATAATTATAATTATTATGGCTCGGCGCCACTCAACTCGTGGTCTCTAATAAGCCACCGGCATGCCGCACCGCGCTTCCACCGCTCTTAATAAAGTTACTACCAACCAAAAACGCCGCCCTGCCGTTATGCGCCTTTCGACGTCGCACACCGCGCGCTATTGCACTCACACGCGTTTAATTGCACTGTTTGCTTGTTAAAGCTATTTAATTACTACGGCGGCTGCTGCTATTTTGATTTATTAATTTTTTAAATATTTTCTTTCTATTTTGCACACTGGTGCGCGCGCGTGAGCTGCTCCGTTTTTTATAATTAAATCAATTTTTCTTTACTTCCCAAAAAAAAAAAGGAGGAAGAAGTATACATCTAATGTAACAAGATTTTTCTTGTGCCTCTATGCCGCGACACTTTACACTATTGCTCGTATTTTCACACAACAAAGCAGGCAACAAATTGTAACACCATAACAAATAGGCTCGACTAAGCAAAGGAAATGTTCATAACTCGTTTTTGTTAGACGCTGCGCTCAGAACTCGAATTTTGAAGCAACGCGCGTTCGTTGTTTTTTTTTTGTTTTGTTTTAATTTTTATTATTGAATGCCGGCCGTGGTCGTGTTGTTGTCAGAAACTAAAAAAAAAACAATCAGCCGCGTTCGAAAGTTGTTAAGTACCCACGGGAAAAATCACTTAATGCGCGCACACATTTTCACTGTCCGCCGCCGCCGGTGAACTGTTGTGTTCTGACTTACTAGCTGCCGCGTAACCGAGCTCGTGGTTAGCTAGCAACCGCTTAGCTTATTGACTGGCATTTCGTTTGCTTGGCTGCTGTTGGCAGTTTTTTCTTGCGCTCCGTTGCTCACTTCAGCAACACAAATACAAAGACAATCGCATATGCTCTCGCGTGCTTATTATAAGCACTACTGTCGGCGGCGCTGTTAAATGTTGCCACTTTTATGCAGCCGACTTGTTACCACTTAACTCCCCGATTGATATTGCACTTCTGATGCGGCGCCAATGACTTTTGTTGCTATCTTTCACTCTTTATTTACAAAGGACTGCGGCGGCGCTCACACACACGACTGCTGCTACAACTTCGGCGGCTGCGACTGCTGTTAACAGCCAGCGTCGTTTTTCCTGCTGCTGAATTTTCCCCCAATACATTCAATATATCCGCGCGCTGCTTTCATATCAGTCCTGCGTATTATAATTATGTTGTTTTGTTAACATTTCATTGGTAATTTTATTGAGCACGTTAACAGCTGTCTGCTAAAGCGGCGAATAAGAGAGTAGCCTGCTGTTTGTACGAATAATTTTGTGTTGTACTGTTATGCTGTTGTTAAAGGCTAGCTGTTAATAACAGCCTCGGCAACTGCGCTGATTGTACCTATGGATATGAGGAAAATTTTTTGTGCCTTAAATATGCATGTTTTTGGATTATAATATTTGTTTTTATATTTTTGGATGATCAACTAAAGCTTCGCTAAAAATTATTGGACATTTGAGAAATGGTCATACATTTATGCCAAGTTTTTAAATGACCAAAAAAGGTATATAAAAAAAAATTGTCCAGTCTTTGAATTACCAAAAATGCAGTTAATGCCCAGACTTTGAATGACAAACACAACCTCGAAACTGGGCATTACATATAAGCAACTTAAAAAAAAGGAATGCTCCAAAACACAGACCACTCATAAACTCTATAAATGCTTGATTAGGCGCCTAGAGAACGTTGAATCCTTTGTTTATTTTGTATATAGCTTAATCTTCTCAAAAGGTTTATCTGACGACAAGTAAAGTAAGTATTTATAAGTAATCGCATGGTTCCTCTGCCATTAACCAGCTTTAGCCAAACTGAGACGAAGATGTCTGCAGCAACACTTTTCCACCATTTTTTTCAGAATTAAGTTCGACGTATGTAGATCTGCGACGCTTCATAGACCTCTCCAATTGGTTCTACTTATTATAAGTCAACTAGGCGATCAACTGCTATCCAAAACGGTATCACAAAAGGCCACTATACTTACGTTTGTTATCAGCTAGGATCTGGATGAGAACAGCCACTACAACCAAGAATTTGGGATGCTAAATAAGATCTGTCGTTCGTCGGAGATATCCACACATACGAGGCACCGATTATTTAACTCTAGTATTAAATCTGTTCTGGAACATGTTGCAAAAGTGGCTGTCAACTAAAATTCAACGGCCCACAAGCGTGTTGGCAGACTAAGCCATATCTGTAGAAAACAAATAGTTTGCGAGGAAATGGGAAAGAGTAAGAGAAGTGAAATATATTTATCTCGCGCCTTTGAAGCGAATGGAATTGTATTGATTTAGCGCCGCGCCGATACAGGAGTATTGCAGTTTTGGGACTTTCTGATTTAGGAATAAAATTTTCATACTTTCTTTGTGATTAAACAATATTGATTAATTCGCTTTTTAATATGAACTAAACCATAAGAATATTTCTTTAATAAACTTTTAAACTGTTTTTTTTTTTCACACAAAAAAACAAGCGGCGGGACCGCTCAACTTCTTACGAAAATGGTAACCGGTACCGGTAAAACCCCCGATTTTTCGAAATTTGTAACCGGTACAAAAAACGATTTCCGCTTTCCTCAATATTTGTAACTAAAACAAACAGGTTTTTCAAAATTGGTAATCGGTTCAAAAAACCGATTTAATTTTTTAGATCACCGTAAAGTAATCCTTGTAGGAGTAGAGCTTTAACAAATTACAACCAGTTCTTGTAAATTCTAAATTCGTCTATATGTTCGTGTCAGTGATAATAGCAACGATGCGGTAATTAATAGTTCTTATAAGGAAACTCAAGAGCACAGAAGTGCGTTTTCTGTTACAGGAGGGCCAAGAATCCTCGCTGTCCCACAGTACGAAACGTTTTCCCGTACATTGGCTAAATGAGTCGCGTGTGATCTCTTGAATATCTTTCAATATTCGCCACTTTTACAATTCGTGGTAATATTTATGAACTGATTTCTAGTTAGATGCAAGATCGCATGATCGTACATGAGGGCGTCCGATCAACTTAACCCCATCCTTCATTTAGACATCTGAAAACTAAATTCTTATAACTTAAACATAGGGCCAAAGCAGACCAACCACACGAGATTTCTATACATTTCGGCTGCAGCGCCATCCATTGGGTCCATTTTCTGCAAAACTATTGCTTACCATATAATGAATACGTGTTATGAATTTCAATCTCGACTCCAGCGTAACTCATCGGGTAAATTGTTATCAAAAGAATTTTCCATCATACAGGTACATAGCTCACATTTTAAATTTGAACGAAATCGGTTAATAAATACGATTTTTATAAATGACTCTACTCCAGCACCACCTAGCGAGTTTTCTAGTAGGATGTAATAGCACCATATATGTATGTGAGATAAATATAAGCTCCATTCTTGGAGTCCATTCTTGGAGGAACCTTTTACTAAAAATTAAAAACAAAGTTGCAATAGTTCAATGGGATTTCGAAATCTAGGTAGGGTAGAAATAGGATAGGTTCCCAATCGAATGATACTTGCGCGTTTATGTAAATGTATATCGATCCAGCCTTTCCAATAATTACTATTTACGCCATAAGTACGGTATTAATAACATATATGACTGTGTCAATTTCAGGACGTTAACGTAAGCGATTTCAGTGATAAGCTATATGAGAAGTTAGGCTGGTATGGAAGGTGCCACGGCCCCTTTTTCAATGCATTTGCAATATATATGCATCAGTGCTAAGTTTCAGTTCCCCAGCGTAATTGGTTTTAGAGATATATTGGTTTTTTACGTTTTAGTCTGTATAAGAATTTTAGGAATATCCCGAGCTACATACCGAGTAAATTTTTAGTGAACCAAATCGGTGCAGCCGTTTAGTGGTATAGTGAAATACATTGTACAGAGAACTATGAAATTGTAAAGCATCTGAGACGTCGATTTCTTAATTTTTTTTTTGGCAGCAACAAAAAAAGTTTTGATTTTTTAGCGAAAAACCTTCCACACAGAAGTTCCAAAAAAGTGCGATCGCTTATGCTTGAACACACTTAATTGAATGTCAATAAAATTAAGTTTGTGGTTATATCAATGCTAAATTTTGAGAACAGTCCGTTGCTAACTCTAAATATAAACAACGATGCACTGGAAAAAGTTAATATGTATATTCAAATACCTAGGAATAATGATCGACGATAAACTAAAGCCAAAAACAATGGATTCTATATTTTCAATTAGAGCTCTAGCAATACATTAGTTTTTAAGTGATGCGCTTACAAACATTCAGACAGACAGACCAAAATTATAAAAATTTTAGATTTGGCTTCTGTTGATCTAATAAACCCCCTATTAATTTTTCTTTAACATCTATAATGTACAGATATCGGCCTGTTGCAATGTTATTATTCTCAAATGCTTTCGTTTGATATCCATATGGCAACATTTAGGTTATCTTATAAATTTAACTGAATTAAAGTTTTCAAATAAGTGGCAACCGCTTCAAAAATATGTTCAAAAGTAAGCTTTCTAATCCTCTTTATTTTAATGTCCGTATTGTAATATTTCATTTATTTTACAAATTTAAATGAATACAATTTTTCAAGCAGTTGGCAAATCCCCTAAAAATGATTTCGGCATTAAAATTTCCTAGCCTCTTTAATTTGATGCCAATATTGCAATATTTAATTTATGCTATCAATTAAATTAAATTAAAGTTTTCAAACAGGTGGCAACCTTCCACAAACATGTTTTCAGCTGTACGCCTTTGTAAACCACTTTCTTTTGACAGCCGTATTTACTTTACCGTATCAATTGACCTAAACTGAAATTTTAAACACAGGTGGCAACTCTCTAATTTTTTTCTTTCTATATTTTAAGTTCGACCTATAGCAATACATCGGTGAAAACTGCATTCAATTCCATGTTTTCGAGTGAAGCGCGAACAAATATACAGACAGACAGAGAGTCAAAAATTCTAAAAATTGTTTATTTGGGTTCTGTAGCTCTAATAAAAACACACCATATTAATTTTTCTTTAATATCTATAAGGTACAGACGTCGGCCTGTTACAATTTTATTATGAGTATAGTTATAGATTTCATTTATTTTATCAATTTTCAAACAGGTGGCAACCCTCCCTTAAAATTTTTGGGTAGTAAAATTTTCTAAACCTCTTTAGTTTGATGCCCACATTGCAATATTCTATTTAGCTTATAAATTAAATTAAATTAAAATCTTCAAGCGGGTGGTAACTCTAAAAAAATAGTTTAGGCTGTAAGCCTGCTTTAGTCTCTTCCTTTTGACGCCTATATTGCAATTTTTACTTTTTGGTATCAATTTACTCAAACTGCAATTTTCAAACAGGTGGCAACTCTCTAATTTTTTTCTTTCCATATTTTAAGTTCGACCTCTAGCAATACATCGGTGAAAACTGCATTCAAATCCAACCATTCGTTTTCGAGTGATGCGCGTGCAAACATACAGACAGACAGACAAAAATTCTGAAAATGGTTGATTTGGCTTCTGGTGCTCTAATAAAGACCCCCCACATAAATTTTTCTGGAATATCTGTAATGTACCGACATCGACCTGTTTCAATTTTATTGTATGTATAGATATATAAAGTTAAGATAGGAAATTTTTTTATATTGAATATTTTTCTGACCAGTGCTTTGTACATACATATATCGACTGGCCTACCTACAGCTTATAAACTAACGGAATCTATTTTAACGAAAAACTTCGTGACATTAACATTCTAGC